GGTAGAGCGCTAGCCTTGAGCTGAAGAGCTGAGGGACAGCGCCCAGGCCCCACGACCGGACCCCCCTCCCCAAAAAACAAACATTTAGCAGCTGTGTTTTGTCAGTCCTGGGGCTTGAGCTCAGGGCCTAGGCACTGTCCCTGAGCTCTTTTGCTCACTTTATCACTTTGAGCCACAAGCTCCACTTCCAGTTTTCTGGTGGTTAATTGTAGATAGTCTCAGGGACTTTCTGCCCAGGCTTGCTTTGAAGTGAGTCTTAGATCTCAGCTTCCTGAGTAGCTAGGATTACAGGTGTGAGCCACCTGCGCCCAGCTAGCAGCTTTATTTTTTTTTAATTATACATAGAAACACCCCTCAAAGCCGGCAGGATCCTGGTTCAAAGCCAGCCCGGGCAGGAAAGTCCATGAAACTCATCTCCAATAAGCCGCCAGAAAACCGGAAGTGGTGCTGTAGCTCAAGTAATAGAGCGCTCGCCTTGAGCTGAAGAGCTGAGGGACAGCGCCCAGGCCCAGGGTTCAAGCTCCACAACCCACAAAAACACAACAACAAAAAACAATTTTGGGCACAGACTATGGTTTAAAATGAAAACACAAAACACTTTATCTGACTTAATTTTAAAAGGCACTACATACAACCAATTGGGAAAAAAATATTTACCAGCAATATACCAGACAAGGGGTTAATATCCTGTATATACAGGGAACTCAAGAAACTGATCCCTCCCACACCTAACAAACCAATTACTAAATGGGCAAGGGAACTAAAAAGAGACTTCTCAGAAGAAGAGATAAAAATGGCAAAGAAACACATGAGGAAATGTTCATCATCCCTGGTGGTGAAGGAAATGCAAATAAAGACAACCCTGAGATACCACCTTACCCCAGTCAGAATGTCCCACATCCACAAATCAGCCAACGACAAATGCTGGAGGGGATGTGGAGAAAGAGGAACCCTATTACACTGCTGGTGGGAATGTACACTTATACAACCACTTTGGAAAGCAGTATGGAGGGTCCTTAGAAAGCTAAAGATTGACCTCCCTTACGACCCAGTCATACCACTTCTAGGCATCTACCCTGAACAACAGGAACCAATATACAAGGACACGTGCACCTCCATGTTTATTGCAGCACTGTTCACAATAGCTAGGATATGGAAACAACCCAGATGCCCCACGACAGATGAATGGATCCAAAAATTGTGGTATCTATACACAATGGAATATTATGCAGCCATTAGAAAGGACAAAATAATGGCATTTGCAGGGAAATGGATGGAGCTAGAAGGAATCATGTTGAGCGAGGTAAGCCAAGAGCAGAGAGACAAATGGTACATGGTCTCCCTGATAAGTGGATGCTAAATCCAACATGTTAGGTGATACGACAAAATTAACAGGACTTAAGAAACAAAGAACTTCCACTCATCTGGTCGAACCACTACTAAATAACCCCATGCTGCTGATCACATGTATGGTGTATATGTATACACCATTATATGTTTTTTTTTGTTTGTTTTTGGGTCCAGTTGTGGGGCCTGAACTCTGGGCCTGGGCGCTGTCCCTCAGCTCTTCAGCTCAAGGCTAGCACTCTACCACTTGAGCCACAGCGCCACTTCCGGCTTTTTTCTTTTTGCTTATATGGTGCTGAGGAATCGAACCCAGGGCCTCATGCATGCAAGGCAAGCGCTCTACCACTGAGCTACCTTCCCAGCCCCCAGAGACTCTTATCTCCAATAAATCACAACAAAATCAGAAGTGGCGCTGTGGCTCAAGTGGTAGAGCGCTCGCCTAGAGCTGAGGGGCTGAGGGACAGCGCCCAAGCCCTGAGTTCAAGCCCCATAACCGACCAAAAACACACACACACACAAAACCCAAAACTTCTGTTCCAGGGGAAGGAGCAGGGATCAGTACACATACTCAGAAAAGTGCCTAGATAGTAAATGCTTCCGTTCTGGGGAAGGGTCAGGGGTCAGTTCAGATGCTCAGAGAACTCACGGGGCAGGCAAGGCTGCTTGGGCGGGGGTCAGCACACTCCGGCCCCCCCCTGCCCGCAAGCCTCGGCCTCCCCCGCAGTGTCCCTCTTTTCCTGTATTCTGGTGGGTCCTGGGCCCGATCTCGGCTCCTCAGCTCCAGGCCCGCGCTGCACCCGGGCCGCCCCAGCCCCGCACCTCCGGGGCCTCTCCCGGCCCGGGCACAGGCGGCCTCGATGCGGGAAGGGGAAGGGATTCCCGTTCCAGGCGCGCACCGGGGCGGGGCCGGGAGCCAGGGTCAGGGCCCACATCCACGCCCAGACGTGTGCGTGTGGCTTTTTTTTGCTGGTTCTCGGGAAATAAGAGCTCTCTCAGACTCTCCTGCCCGGGCTGGCCTCGAACCTCCATCCTCAGGTCTCCGCCTTGGAGTGGCTGGGATTCCAGGCAGTCAGCGCCCCGCGGCTCCATCCCGGGTCGGCGTGCTCGAGGCCCCGCCCGCCCGCCC